ATACCAGACATTAGGTCTATCATATTGCTCAGCTGACACACACTATAATAGCTATTTAAGTTTGGAAGTCCCCATCCTCCAACAGTTGGGTGCGGATACAACAGGGATTTTTTAATGTGTGTTCTATCTGATTGAAATATGAATTTATTAATTTTTCTTTGCCACTTGGACATGTAGGCTGGTGGGATCCACACTGATAGGGTTTGGAATAAAAATATAGTCATATCTTGGTTCTTGGATGGAATCCGTTCCGGAAGTCCATTCAATTTCTGAAAACATTTGAAAACCAAGGTGCGGCTTCCAATTAGCTGCAGGAGCTTCCTGCAGCCAATCAGAAGCTGTGGAAGCTGTGTCGGACATTCGGGTTCCAAAGAACATTTGCAAACCGGAACACTCACTTCTGGGTTTGCGGCATTCAGGAGCCAAAATGTTCGAGTCACAAGGCGTTCGAGAACCAAGGTATGACTGTAATAACTTTGGAACAATCATCATTTTGGTTGTGGCCAGTTGGTCCATGATAGAAAATTTCATTTCCCCCCCAGCGCTGCATATTTTTTCCATACTTTGCCATAATTTTCTGATATAACTTATTTAAATTGTGAGTAATCGGAACACCTAAGTATCCAAAACTTTTTTTAGCTATTGGGATTTAGAGAAGGTTTTTTGAAGCTGGGGGGGTGGGGGGTTATGAAAGAACATGACATCTGATTTTTGAAAATTTACTCGTAAGTCCATAAATATTGGAGAATTTCTCCAATTCCAGACTCAATAGTTTTCTGGGGTTGATTGACTCTGATGTGCATAAAACAAAGTCATCTGCATACAGTCCCAGAATATATTCATTTCCATTGATGATTAGGCGTTTTCCTGCCAGAATTTGGCGCAGTCTAATTGCCAAGTAGGGACGCGGGTGGCACTGTGGGTTAAACCACAGAGCCTAGGACTTGCCGATCAGAAGGTTGGCGGTTCAAATCCCCGCGATGGGGTGAGCTCCTGTTGCTCGGTCCCAGCTCCTGCCCACTTAGCAGTTCGAAAACATGTCAAAGTGCAAGTAGATAAATAGGTACCGCTCTGGCAGGATGGTAAATGGCGTTTCTGTGCGCTGCTCTGGTTCACCAGAAACGGCTTAGTCATGCTGGCCACATGACCCGGAAGCTGTACGCCGGCTCCCTTGGCCAGTAAAGCGAGATGAGCGCTGCAACCCCAGAGTTGGCCACGACTGGACCTAATAGTCAGGGGTCCCTTTACCTTTACATTTAATTGCCAAGTGTTCCAAGATTATGGCATATAATAAAGGCGACAGTGGGCATCATTGCTTTGCCACAGTCAATTTGACATTTTTGTGAGTCTATATTATTTATCCTAATTCTGGCAAATGTGGTGCCATAAATGTTCTCTAATAATCCAGTGGATTTTGGGCCAAATACAAACTTTCTTTATCACTTCAATTAAACACCTGGGTTCTACACATTCAAATGCTTTAAATACATGCAATGATAGACAGGCTAGTGTTGAAGTTGTCTGCTTGCTGTGGTATATTAAGTTCAGTAATTTTCTAATTGGGTCTGCAATTTTGCATCCTGGAACAAACCCTGGTTGGTCCAGGTAGATGTATTTCCCAATAAATGCTTTCATTCTAGTAACCATTACAGTGGTGCCCCGCAAGACGAATGCCTCGCAAGACGGAAAACCCGCTAGACGAAAGGGTTTTCCGTTTTGGAGGCGCTTCGCAAAACGAATTTCCCTATGGGCTTGCTTCGCAAGACGAAAGCCCATAGGGAAATCTCCGGGACAGCGGGGAAGCGCAGCGCGTCTTCCCCACTGTCCTCAGACCTCCTCTGAAGCCTGGCAGCGGGGCGGGGACACCTCCTCCCGCCGCCCGGCTTCGGAAGGATGCTCCGAAGCCGGGCGGCGGGGCGGGAACACCTCCCGCCGCCGCCGGGCTTCGGAAGGCTCCTCCGAAGCCGGGCGGCGGGGCGGGAACACCTCCCGCCACCGCCCAGCTTCGGAAGGATGCTCCGAAGCCGGGCGGCGGGGCTGCGAAGCCTGGGCGTGCTGATCTCAGCGCGCGCAGGCTTCGGCATGCTGGCAACTCTCCGCAAGCAGCGTGAGCGCTCCCGCTGCTTGCGGAGAGGTCCGCGAAGCCTGTCCCGGACAGCTTTTGAAGGCGGGGGGGGGGGAGAGCAAAGACTTTCGCCCCCCGCCCGCCTTCAGAAGAGGTCCAGGACCTCTTCTGAAGGCTGGCGGGGGGCAAAAGTCTTTGTTCCCCCTGCCTGCCTTCCCAGGGGCTTTTAAATCGCCCCGGACAGCGGAGAAGTCCTCCGCTGTCCCGGGGCGATTTTAAAATGCTGCCCGCCAGCATTTTAAGATCGCCCCGGACAGCGGAGAAGTCCTCCGCTGTCCGGGTTTTTTTTAAAATGCTGGGGGTGGGAAGAAAAACCCTTGTCCCCCCACCCAGCCTTCAGAAGAGGTCGGGGGACAGACTGTCCCCGGACCTGGTCTGAAGGCAGTTTCCATAGGAACGCATTAATTGATTTTCAATGCATTCCTATGGGAACCGTGCTTCGCAAGACGAAAAACTCGCAAGAAGAAAAAACTTGCGGAACGAATTAATTTGTCTTGCGAGGCACCACTGTATTGTTGTAAAGATTTTATAGTCAAGATTAAGTAGAGAAATTGGGTGATAAGATTCCACCAGAGAATGATCTTTGTGTGGTTTAGGAAATAGTACAATTCTCAATGATTTCCAAGTTTCTGGCAGTGAGTCGCCAGCTAGGTAGCAGATCTGTTCTGTTCTGTTGCTATCTGCCTCAGAGTTAGTCATTCCATAACAGTATTTATCTTAGATAAAAATCTATGTAAGATGTGTTAGTAACATAAGTAACACCTATATGCAATGTATATTTTAATCTGCAAGCGCAAGTACACTAAGGTAAGCCCCGCCCCACATAATCGATCACATGACATGATGCACACACACCATTTGAGTGGCAGTGCCCATCAACTTTGGGGGCTCCTGGTCCCCTCAAATATTATAGGGGGCGAAGACCCCCCTCAGCCTCTAGGAGATGCCTCCTATGACACTAAGTAAAAGTTATGTTATTTAAACTTTAGAGAGCGTATTGCATAGTTTTTATAGGAGGGAAAACGGAACTAAAAGGGTCAAATGACTCATGCTGTCTTCCGCATAACTCTGTAAATGGGAACTAGAGTTTAATTCCCACAATAAATCAATTAAATAATAAATAAATTCAGTGAGGCAGTGAATTTACCCTTTGCCTTAGTCCTGGTTCTGGACTTGCCAGTGGGCGGATTTAGCTCACGCTGCTTTTTGTGTGGTGGGTCGCCATCACTGGGGCTGGGAAGGTCATATGTGACTGGCGCTTTGGGTGCTTTCTGCTGGAGTTCCCCCTGAGATGTCGGCAGCTCTTTGGCCATCAAGCTACAGAGGAGCCGCTTCACGAAAAGGTCAATTGCAAATCAATTACGCCTGGAATTTATAGCCTTGCAGAAAATGGTGATAATTACCTCCCCCACCCACCGCCCTTCCCTTTAAAAGGATGGCTGTCAGGTTTTGACACATCTTTAAAGCTCTCATGGTTGCTTTTTTTGGCATATATTTAGGAATAGGATTTGAATAAGCATTGTTATTAAAAGCCAGACTATTTAAAGATTCCCTTGCTTTGCTGCTGCCGTGGGAGTGGAGGATTTCACAGGAGGGAAGGGTTTCTGGAAGTTGGCAGAGATGGTTTTGGCAGGAAAAGTAATTACTTCTTGCATGTAGCAATGTCCTGATCCAAAGGCTCTGCTTGCACCAACATGCCTGGGCAGCTTTTAGAAGCCTTTTCCTCATCCTTCTCTCACTCCAGGACAATATTCATGTCTTCCAAGTCGCCCTTAAGCTTCTTGGGACTCTTACATATCTCAGGACCACAGCTTGACATTTGATTTTTTTTTTAAGCATCAAAGTAGTCACCATGGAAAAATAGAACTTGCATTCTTCTCAACACGCTCTCTCCTTTCTTCTGTTCTCTTTTTATTCACTTATCCCCATCTAAACCAGAGGGGCGTCCAACTCTCATAGATGGAAATAATGTGAGAAAAACAGATCCCGTCATGTGTTGCAATGAATCTAAGTTTTATTATTATTGGTATGCGCTTCTGAGCTATATATACAGTGATACCTCAGGTTAAGAACTTAATTCGTTCTGGAGGTCGGTCTTTAACCTGAAACTGTTCTTAACCTGAGGCACCACTTTAGCTAATGGGACCTCCCACTGCTGCCGTTGTGGCAGCACTGTTCGATTTCTGTTCTCATCCTGAAGCAAAGTTCTTAACCTGAGGTACTATTTCTGGGTTAGCGGAGTCTGTAACTTGAAGCGTCTGTAACCCAAGGTACCACTGTACATGAATCTGTGTGTGTAAAAATATTTTACATAGTGCAATTTTATTTTATTTTTAAAAGTTTTTTATTTTGAATTACATATTGGGGGCACCATCATCTTTTCAGTCCTCTCTAAAGGTCTTAATCCAACCCTGCTGCCCCTCCAACCTCAGCCCACCTCCACCTGCCTGCCTTGTTACTTCAAACCAGTCCAATGGGGTGGCCCTGGCTGTCAGAATGAGTTGACTCCACCTACCATTGGCTGTGGCTCCACCTACTGTTGGCCACCTTGCCTTCCACCCCACCAAGCCCAATGCACACCAGCAACTGGTGCTTTTAGATGTCATGTGAAGATGACTGTTTTCCTTCCAGCTTTTAGGAACATAGGAATTATAGAATCTCAGAACCATAGAGCTGAAAGGGACCCAACTCCACCCAGTCCCCCATACAATTGGAAACCATACCATATCTTGCTTAGCTTTGCAAATGTGCTAGCAGTTTTATTGCTGCACTTCTACTGAATTGGTCCATCTAACTCAGTACTGTTGACACTGACTGGCAACAGTTCTCCAAAGTTTCAGTCAGGACCTCTTGGTCGGTCTCTCCCAGCTCTACCTGGAGATGCCAGGGATTGAACCTGGGACCTTCTGCATGCAAGGCAGGTGTTCTGCCACTGAGGTACATCTCCCTTTTGGAAATGGATGAACTACATGGCTGGTGATATCTATGGTCATGGCTGTGAGCTGCTGATGTTTTTCATGCTTATTGGTTTTATGTAATAAATAGCATCTTCCTATATACATAAAAATGTAAGGCTGTCATCACACAGCCCCTGTTGGGTTTGTATGGATTTGCATGGTCAGGGAGAGGAGCAGGGGAGAGGAGCAAGAAAGAAAGCAGGTTTTAAAATGTTTGCCTGAACCAACAGCCGAGGTTTGATTAAAACAGGGATGGAGAAACACAGAGGAGCTGTGAGGGGATATGGGGGCCCCCTGAAGGCACTGTGAGGGGATTTGAGGTGTTTAAGTGTAAAAGGAGGAAATGGAGGGTTTGTCAGGGGTAGATAGAGTTTGCGATCAATGAGAGTAGTGGCAGCAGCCCCTATGAGAGTAATGATGATGACGAATGGCTCTTATTTAAAAAGCAAACCCCTTCCTCTCTCATGTTAACTTTGGATTGCAAGCTCCTTCAGGCAGGGATCTGTTTTCATAGTCTTTATAAAGTGCCACATCCATAGATGACACACAGCAGCAGGAGGAGGAAGGGGAGGTGGTGCCTAAAAGTGGGAGCCGGAACTGGAAAGGTTGACCACAGCTCTAGGGGAACAGTGTCTGACTGCAACGAAGGAAGAGGGTGGTTTCCACCTACTCTACTGACCTTTGAATCTTAAATATGAGGGCGCAGCAGACGTGGCTTTGTGGCAATGCAGAGCTGGAGTTCCCCCTGAGTTTCATCCAGACCTTATCTAGAGTTTTATACAGCTGGTGCCAGTCTGCTGCCTTCCAGATATTTTGAACCACATCTCTGATCAGCCCCAGCCAACAGACTGGTTTCGGGCACTTCAAGACATTTGCTGTTTTGGGGTAGGATTCCATCACATGCAGGTAGTGCAGTTAGCTGGGAGGTCTTGTGAAACAAGCTTGCTTCCCCAAAGGACTGGACTTTATGTAATAAGGGAAGTGACAGAAATGTCCTGAAAAGTGTGGATAATGCTTGCTTTGCTGCAACATCATCTAAACTCCCCACAAACAAATCAGGATGAATGCTCAATAAAACAGGCCACCTGGAAGAGATCTTGGTCTCAGACCTAGTTTCCAGTGCCAGAGGCCTTGGGGCATAAATCCTTCAGGCAGAGATGCCAACACCCAGTCCTGTTTGGAAATTATGCATTCCAATTTTGAAAGCCTTATCCCAAACCCTATAAATAAGGGTGCTCACTGGGAGAGAAATGCATTCTGCACAAGCTCAGGAGCAGTATATCCTTTTCTACCCCCAATGTTCCAGGGGTTGACCCATGGCACTAAAACATAGGTTCATGGGCTGAACTCTTGCTCATATCAAGCTGTATGTGGCTGTTGCTCATTGTAGACAATAATGAGATAGATGGACCAATCATATGATGCAGTATAAAACTTCCCAAGATTCTTCCTGTTTTTCATAGCTCAGCTGTAGAGCATTTGCTTTGCATGCAGAAGGAACCAGGTCCAATTCCCAGCATCTTCAGGTAGGGCAGGGAGTGCTCCCTGCCTGAAACCCTGGAGAGCAACTGCAAGTCAGTGCAGACAACACTGAGCTTGATGGGCCAATGGTCTGACCTGGTATAAGGCAGCTTCCTACCTTCCTAACGTAATACGGATTATTAAAGGCCTTATGAGTCCCTGCAGTGGCATTACTCTGGTGTCAGTGATGCAAATATGAAATGCAGGTAGGGAAACAACTTCTTGTGGCTACTAGCAGCGTTTTAGCGACACCCTGTGGCCAGAATCATTGCGGGAAATGCTGTTTAACAGGCAAACTTGCTCTATTGCTTGTCTTTGTTCACATTGAAAAGAAGGCAGCAGGTTAATTAAAACAATGTGTGGATATATCCAGGGTGGATATATTGCCTACACCCAGCAACAGAAGTGTTTCCACTTGTTGGCCACATAGCCTCACACTGCTCCACCGCCTCTTCAAGTACAGTGGTACCTCAGGTTAAGTACTTAATTCGTTCCGGAGGTCCGTTCTTAACCTGAAACTGTTCTTAACCTGAAGCACCACTTTAGCTAATGGGGCCTCCTGCTGCTGCCGTGCCGCCGGAGCATGATTTCTGTTCTCATCCTGAAGCAAAGTTCTTAACCTGAAGCACTATTTCTGGGTTAGCGGAGTCTGTAACCTGAAGCATATGTAACCTGAGGTACCACTGTACTGTACTCCTTTCAAACTACTCACCCTGAGCAAGGAAAGAACTGTACTCTCCAGCAAAGCACCACAACAGTGGTTGTCATAACATCTTAGGAAGCACCATCAGGCAGGGGCAATAGGGCCCATGCATTGTATTTTTCAAACCAGACAGGTGGAGCAGTAAGGCACCAGAGGTCCTCTGGCCATACCATCTGTCCCAGTGTCCCAAGGCCCTATTAAACCAGAATTGTATAGCATTGCAGACTGGGGCTGATTCTGTCCCATATCTTGGAATGATGCTTCCTGAAGCTGCTAACTCTGTGGGACTTCCTTTGTGCTCAGTGGTCCAGAAACTGTTTTGTGCAGAATGCTGTTGTGGCAGGATTGCTGACAGGAACAAGACCCTGCCAGCATATGGCACCCCCTGTTCAAAGATCTGCACTGGCTACCAATTTGTTACCACGCCAAATTCAATGTGTTCCTCTTTGGAAAGCTACCAACAGCTTGTAACCAGTTTACATGAAGGACTGTCTGAAACCAGGCGCAGGGAACCTTTTGCTCTCCCAATGTTGCTTAAGTACAACTCCCATCAGCCACAGCATGCATGACTGACAGGGGTGATGGGAGTTGAAGTTCAGCAACTTCTGGGAGGTCCAAAGGTTCCCCACCCCTAGCCTAAACCTGAATGCAGCTCCTTGAAGGCTTCGATCTGCCAAGGTGGCACTCCTACAGTCATCACAAAATGTTTGCTCTGCATTCGTGAGAACTCAAGGCCTTTGGCATCAATGCTATGCTGACTGGCTTTAGGCAGGCCCCTGCACTGTTGTTTTTGATGCCTACTCAAACCTTTTTTGTTTAGGCCAGACATGTAATTTTATTAGGTGTGTTTTAAAAATCTGTTGATTTTATCTATATTTAGATAATGATTAAGCAATACGTAAATCTGTTAAAATTAATAAAACTTTTACAAGGGTTTGCAGATCTGGGGAACTGCCAGAATCTGAGACTGTGTTGAGTTTCCTCCTCTTCTACAGGCACACACACAAGCTTCTTGGCTTGCCTGAGGCTTGTGTCCTGTGGCCAGCCAATCTTTGTGCAAAGCCCATAAACAGGCAAAATACAAATAGTAGCTATGACAGCAGCAGGAAGGTTAGAGAGGCTAGGGGCAGATGTAGAAGCACCGGGGGGGGGGGCTTGAACCTGTGGCCCTCCACATGTTGCTGAACTGCAATTCCCATACCCTTGAGCCGTTGGACATGATGTCTGAAGCGGATGGGGAGTTGGAGTTCAACATCTGCAGGGCAACAGGTTAGACACCTTCACTCTAGGGTGTCCTGGGGAGAGACCCAATCAGGCGCCTGATCCATAATGTGTGGATCAGAAGGCTGGGAGAATATTCAGAAGCAGCGGCATGGGACTGTGCCACAGAGAAACATCTTCCATCATTATACAAATGAAATGGGGACATGGGGCGTGGACATCAAGGCCAGAAGAAAGGCTTTGCTGTTACTGAATTAATTCTTACAGATTTCATATTGTGTTGACATGAAGGTGGCTTTGTTGACTTATTTTATAATTTGAGATTTGCTATATTTATTACGCTGAGGTTTTGTACCAATTGAGCTGGTTTCTGGGCTTCCCTTAGGAAGGAAAAGTGGAGTTTAAGCAATAAATGGAAGCAAATGAAACATCACAATTGCAAAAAATGGCTCTGTGATCATCCCCCCCCCTGACTATCTGATTCCATTCATCAGCAGCCAGGACTTCAAATCCTCTGGCAAAAGGGCCCCTTTTCACATGTATCCAGGCGCATCCACACCAATGGAAACCGGAGGCACAGATTTAGTAGACATTTATTTATGTACACACTTATACACACAGTTCCCAAGCAGAGAGGCCTTGCCTTCTCTCTTCAGTGCTCTCTTGTTTGCAATTCAGTTCCAGTCCACATCGATTCTACATAAACCCACCGGACGACAATTTGGGAAGGGAAAGGGAGAAATGCACACCCAGAGGCGGGGGAACCCTCCCTCCTACACCCCATTGCCTCTGCAGAAAGGGACCAACCAGAGAATGTGAGGGAGCTCCTTTGCTTTGCTTTAAGAGGATGGACACCCTACCATCTGGTGCAAGCTACCTGGCTGAGGAATGCCTATGGATCCAACACCTGGTGCTTCAGGCCACTATCCTAAGATGTCAAGGGGCAAAAGGAGTGGGAAAGAGTTCTGGGGCAAGTGTGGATGGACCATAAGGTGCTTTTTGCCTGGTCAGTGCGCTGCAGTCCAGCCCCATTCTTTGCACAATGCCCACTGAAGTAGAAATAAACCCAGTTGTGTTATTTGGGCCTGGGGCGCTACTAGTTGGCAGAGCTGTGCCTCACTCTTGATTGACTGCTCTACAAGCACAGCCAGCTGCTCCCAAGGTCACCTGTATGGCATTCCACCCTGTTAGGCACTTGCAGGCTCAGAGCCTGCAGGCACCCAAGCTCCCGAGCCACTCCCAGGAGAGATTCGAGGGCTAGTGCTGCCCCCCCCCACAGTGTGGCACCCAGTGCCCTGCGCTCCCCCAGCTATGCCTCTGCAATGGAAAGCCTGATGCTTTCCACTGATCCATGGTTTAACCCCATAACTTTTTCAGACATCAAGGCATGTCAAGAAATCAGGGTCTCCCTTGAGCATACACAGAGAATAGCTCCTTCACTGCCAAGTGGAGACAGTTGCTCTCTCACACCTCTCATAAGCCTTTGGGATGATGGGGAGCCAGTTCCCAACAGAGAAAGATGTGTGTGCCCGATGGTGGGATGCACTCTGTACATGCTCAAGGAGTTGCTTCATCATTCTGACTTCATATGCCAAAAGCAAAAAAAAGGTGGGGCAGAAAAAGGAGATGTGGGGGTGGGGGAGCTGCTGTCCAGGAACCCTGGCTTAAAGTGAGGCCCTGAAAAAATAAAAAGGAGACAGATATATCTTGGGGTCTCTCTGGGTATGAGAGGTCTTTCCCCAACACCCCTGGTGGAGAAAAGCCCCCAAAACTTAGGAGAAAGGCATTGGGGAAATAGAAAGCAGAGATAGGAAGCAACTTGGGCCTCCAGAGGGGTTGGCTGAGTTGGGGGATGCACTAGAAAAGCAGAGAGGCTCCCATTCAGAAGCTGGCAACCTGGCCCTATGCCCCAAGATTTCACCTGCGCAGCTGCTGCCCATTCTGAAATGCCGCCACTGTTATTGTTTTCAGGTCAATTCATTCTAGACAATCAGGGCTGGAGAAGGGGCAGAGAAGTGCATCTCTCCCCCCCGCAAACTGGCCTCAAACTCCCCCAGATGTAAAAAGGAGGGGGTGGGTGGGGTAGAGTGATCCCTGATCTCTTATTAGCGCTGGGATTGAGAGGAAGGGTTTACACCGAGTCTGTGAGTTGGGGCGCCCACTTTGTAAGGAAGACATCCCCATGGCTTCCTTCAGCTCCTCCGAGCCCCTGCGTGCAACTTGGCTGCCCCCCCTCCAGGGCTCCACTGGCGCCTTAAGGAAGAACCTGCCCCCTTTCCACAGCCCTAGTGCAAAAACAACCCTTCCCCAGGTCCAGAGCAGGGGGCATGGGGCGCTCTCGACGGCAGGAGAGTCCATCACGACTGGCTGCTCCCAAGCCCTACGTCCCCCCCCATAGCCATGAGTGGCCAGAGGCTGTGATTCCAGGATGCCAAACAACACCCAGGCCTGGACGAGGCTTTACTTGACGTGCTCGGCAGCGTGTGAGGAGCAGTAGTACTTCTTGTGGGCAATGAAGGTCGACAGGCTGCTGAACTTGATGTTGCAGAGGCGGCAGTACCTGTGGTTGCCGTTGGCCACAGGGGTGGGGGGTCCTTTGCCCAGTGGGGTCTGCATGCTTTTGTCCGTGTAGCCAGGAGGGGCGTTGGGTGTTGCCTCGGGCAAGGGGGAGATGGGCAAGGGGGCAGGAGGGGAGAGGGGGAGAAGGGGCTGTGGGGAGATGGTAGGGCGCGGGCTCCCGTTGGAGACGGAAGGAGTGGGAGGCTCCTTGCCGTTGAAGCTGTCCTTGCGCAGTCTGGGGAGGGGCTGTGGCGGGGAGGCAGTGGGCAGCGGCGGGAGCAGGCTGCCCTCCGCCAGCGTCCGGGTGGCCTCTATCAACGTGGCGCCAGCCACCGTTTTGGCAACAAATAGGCCGTGGGCATTGCGGAAGTGCTCCACCAAGTCTCCCTTAATGGCTCCGTTGAGCGGGCAGTAGGGGCACACCACCAGGGGCACCTTGGTGCCTGGGAGGTGCAGGGCTTTGGCATCCAGGTAGCGCTGCGGAAGCGAGTCCAGGCCAGGGAAGGCAGCCGGGGGTGCTGCAGGGCTCACAGAAGGGACCCCCTTCTCTACTTTGACTAATGCCGCTTCAGGTTCCTCGCTCAGCCCTTCGGGGCTGCCCCGAGGTTTCGGCACAGCTGGGACGGCCCCTTTGATCTTCTGCAGCTGCTCGAGTGTGCTAGGCTGCAAGGGTGTGGCCGGGCAGTAGTACTTCTTGTGAGCCAGGTAGCTGTCCAGGCTGTGGAAGCTGATGCGGCAGGCCGTGCACTCGTGGTAGTCGGCCAGCGGCAGGAGGGAAGCCGGCAGAACTTCCGCACCGCTGTGGAGGCGGGGCTTCTTGCTCAGGTCAATGGGGCCGTCCGTGTCGGGGCTCGAGCTAGGAGAGGGGGCAGCCTTGACCACGGGAATGAGAGCTGGGACCACGGGGGGCACCTCGGGGTGGGTGGCATCCGGGGCACCGCTGAGCTGGTTGGCGGCATTGTGGATTTCGTACAGCTTGCGCCGCTTGCGTGTACGGATCGGCTGGGGGAGGAAGGGCACCTTGCCCGCAGCGCCAGCCCGCCGCAGTGGCGGGTCGTGGCGGGAGGCACAGTAGTAGCGCTTGTGCACCATGTACGTCTCATGGCGGCTGAAGCGGATGTTGCAGGCTTCGCACACAGTCCGGCTAGGGTCATCGTCTGGCTCCTCCATGGAGCTGCCTCCAGGGCTCCGGCTGTCCTCACTGATGCGCCCCGTCCCATCGGCCTCAGGGGAGGGGCTGGTTTTAGCCCCACCCTCCTCCACCTTGATCTCTTGCTTGACCTCTGGGACACTGGGTGGGCTGGCGCCTGGCCCAGCTTCCCCCTCAATTGTGGCCTTGCTGTCTCCCGGTAGTGGGGGCGAGAGGAGGACTCCAGGTGTGGGAGGGCCTTTGGGGGGCACTGAAGGAGCCGCCTTCAGCTTGCGAGGGCCGGGGGGGCTCTCTTCTGCCAAGCGGCGGCTGGAGCAGTACAGCCGCTTGTGGACGTAGTAGTTGTTGATGTTGTTGAAGGTGATCTCGCACTCAAAGCAGGTGGCGCCCTTGGGCACTGGGGTGCCTGGGAAGAGGACAGGGGGCACCACGGTGTGGCCTTGCTTCAGGCGGCTGTGCACCAGCTCCGACATCTTGGCCAGGATCTCTGAAGCTTGGGGCACCACCGTAGCCTCGTGGCCAAACATGTACTGGGGGAGAAATATTGTGCCACCAGGTGTACTCGACCCGGGCTCGCTGGGCACTGGGCTGGACCCGGGCGTGGGGCTGGTGATTTCAGACTTCACCTTTACTGAATGCAGGCTATGTGGAGAGGATGCGCGAGAGGAGGCGTCTGGCTCCAGCTCAGGACCAGCGGTTGCCCCTGTCTGGGAGGTCCCTTGAGGGCTTCCCCCTCGTCTTCAGGCTCCTCCTTGATCTGCACTACTGTCACCCCATCCCCCAGTGTGGAGGAGAAACCTTCTTGGGGTGGGGAGCCATTTGCCGCTTCCTCTGTAGGGGGCGCCATCACCCCCTGTGTTGCCAGTTTGGCAGGGGTGTCCAGCTGGCTCTGGGCAGCTTTGGGCTCCAGGCCTGGCAGTACAGCTGCAGCAGTGCTGTGCAGGACTACGTGCTGTTGGAGGCTGGGCAAGCAGTCAGCCACATAGCCACAGAAGCTGCACTTGAAGGTGGAGGCTGGGCCTGGCGTGTTCAGACCTGTAGGGAGAAGGGAGAGGTGCTTAGGTAGTAGCTCGGCCATATCCTCACAGCCCTGAGGTGGCTGGCTGTAGCATTGTCACTGAATCTTGTAATTTTTGGCTCAGAGATCCACTGATTCTGGCTGCTTGTAAAGCTTGCCTGGGAAGCAAAATGGAAATTATTCCGCCCAGATTCTTCTCGGGCTCAGATTAAAATCCTATCTAGAAAAGAACAAGTCCTGCTTCACTCCAATTCCTCCCCAACACTGGCCACATACCTTCTTCCTTAATGCTTGGCCAGTAGTGGAATGGAAGGGATTTGGGGAAATGTACTTTTCCCAACCCTACTGGCCAATAACACTAGGAAAACTACTTTGTCCAGTGCTCCAAGCTCCTAGGTAGCCAAAGAGTGGGGGCAGCAGGGAGGGAGATTTCCTCCCTTCCACTTCCTCCCTCTGGACCAGGCAGCAAGTCATGTAGACAGGCGGGGAATGGGAAGATTCAGACCCTGTTGCTTTACCACAGTCCCATAATGAGGTCTGAATTAGCTTGAAATCGAACTCAGAATGAACTGAGGACGTTTCCAAGTCACAGAGGAGAGCAATTCTGCTTTCTGAGCCTGACAAGGGGCATTCATCTCATCGTTAGTTCCCCAAGCATGCTTCTTCCACAAATGCTTGGATGTGTATGTGACACCCACAGATAAGCCCCTCTGTGGACACAACCCCCAAACTGACTCAAATCTCTGCAAGTTCCTGTCTTCTTAAAACAATTTATGGCAGGCCATCCCCTTAATATTATTATTAAATAAAGTAAAAATTAATGGTAATGAATTTCATACAGCTAAGTCCTACTCAGTAGACTCACTGAAATAAATAATTATATCTTAATTAAAGCAATACTTATTAATATGATGATGGTAAGAACCACAACATAAAAATTATATCCCACCTCTGCTGTAAGAGGCTCAAGGTGGTGTGCATAGCTCTTTCTCATTTTATCCTCACAACCACCCTGTGAGGCTGGCCTAGCTGGGATTTGAACCTGATCTCTTCCTGATCCTAGTTCTAGACCCAAACCACACCATGTCACGTGCCTGACTTACCTGGGGCCAGGGGCTTGGTGGCCGGGGCAGCAATGGTGGTGCTTTGGGCGTAGACCTCCCCCTTGGAACCTGGCTGGCAGATCATATGATTTGTGACCAGGTGACTGTAGAGAATGTCTCTGGTGGTGGAGATGAATCCGCAGCTGTGGCAGACGCCTGTAGAAACAAGGGAGAGCACTAAGAAATCAAGATGTATGAAGCTGCTTTCAGGCTGAGACCGCCTACCAGCCCACCTAAATCCAGTGCCATTCACTCTGACTGGCAGCAGCTCTCCCAGGTCTCAGAGAGGGGTCCTTTCTGAGCCCTGATACTCAACTGCTTCCCTAATGGAAAATGCTTGGGATGAACCCAGGGACCTTCTGAATGCAGAACTGGTGCTATACCACTGAACCATGGCCTAATATTTTGTTGGGTTTTGAGTGTGAAGTGGGTGAGCAAGGGTGCGAGGTCAGCTGATGGTGGGAAGCACTGTTGACTGCAAAGAGGAGGACCTCCAGACAGCTCTGCTACACTACATGCAGAACAAGGCCACCTAAGACCACCCCCAGCCCATCTAGTCTAGCATCTTGTTCTCACAGTGGCCATTCAGATGCCTCTTCTGCGGGGCTCAGAAGCAAAACCAGAGTGCAACAGCAACTCTTCCCACTTGCGATTCCCAGCTGCTGGTGCTCAGAGTTACTGGGTGGTTTTCAACTATGTCTTACTCAAAACAGACCTATGGGATCAGTCCATTAGTTCTAATACGTCTCCTCTGAGTAAAACTGAGCTGAATACCACCCATACTGTCTCTGATCCTCAAGGTGGTATAATGCCATCATGAGTTGCCACTGGATTGTTGAGCGGGCAGGAGGACCAGCAGTTTTGTGTCTATTTATTTCATTTATATCCCACCTTTCCCTCCAAGGAGCTCAAGATGGCTTCCTGTTTGTGGAATGTTCTCCCCAGGGAGGCTCACCCCGACACTTTCGATACTTATCCTTAGGCACCAGGCAAAAACATTCCTCTTGTCCCAGGCCTTTGGCTAATTAAACAATCCATGGCCTTTTCAACTGTGGTTGGATCCAGGGGTATTGTTTTTGTTATGCATTTTTGTGTTTCTATATTGTAAACTGCCCTGTGATCCTTGGATGAAGGGCGGTATAAAAATTTACCGCAATTTTCGCCCTATAGGACGCACCGGCCCATAGGACGCACCTAGATTTTGGGGGGTGAAATAAAGGGGAAAAAAATTTTTTCCCCCCAGGTGCGGGGCTGGGGCGGGGGAAGCTCGGGTTTCCCCCGATGCCAGTCCCCAGAACAGGACCCAGAGCCATGCCGAAGCTGCGTGCAGCTTTGAAATCGCTCTGGGAGCTTGTGGGGCTGGAGGAGGGGAAAGCGGAGCTTCCCCCTCCCCCAGCCCCCAGAACGGGACCCAGAGCCATGCCGAAGCTGCATGCAGCTTTGGCATCGCTCTGGGAGCTTGCTGGGCTGGAGGGGGGAAAGCCCTCCGCCAGCCTTCTAACCCAGTCGGGGGACAGCGGGAAAGGCGCACTGCGCCTCCCGCTGTCCCCCGAGTTTGCGGGGCTGGCGATGGGGAGGAGCAGGCTTCTCCCCACCGCCAGCCTTCTAACCAAGTCGGGGGACAGTGGGAAAGTCGCGCTGCGGGGCTGGCTGTGGGGCTCTCCTGAAGCCTGGAGAGCGAGAGGGGTCAGTGCGCACCGAGCAGGGTCACCCAGTGAACTTCATGTCTATGTGCACCCCAGCCTCCCAGATTCTAGGTCCAACACACTATAACCATGACACCACACTGGCTAACATAGGATAAGCTACTCTGGGATGGGGACCATCTCACTTTTTTGTTTGAACCACTTCTAAAAAGCCTGTCCCCATTGAAACCAAACAGTGCTCTAACTAAGCAGTACTGCCAGTGGTCTACCTCTACGGAGCACTGCTTGTGAGCTGGATCTCTCACTCCAATATTGATTGGGGATTACCGTTCAGTGTGTCTGTGTGGACCTTCAGGTGACGCTCACAGTTGGCTTTTGTGGTGAAGGCAGAGTGGCAGATAAGGCACACAAATGGCCTCTCTCCTGAAAGAGAAGCCAGAAGGAGACAACAGCATGAGAAAGGTGACCACAAGACTTGTTCTATCACCCAAACAGCAGGGAAGGGCCCAAGCATTTCAGTGCCCTTTATGTTGGAGAAACTGGACATGGAGGAAGGAGTTACTTTTTTCAGGGGCACAAATAGCCTCATGTATAGCCAGCCAAGCCAGCTGCTATGTCAACAGCCCAGTGCTGTCTATGTAAGTGATTAAGGTGTGTCAGCTCATCAGTCAGTGAGTGGGTCTTGTGCTGTGTGTCAGGGTCAGTCTTGAGAAGTGAGTCAGAGTCTGTTATGCTTCAAATGGCTGGAGCTACTTGTATGTATGTATCTGTATCTGCAAAGACTACAAACTGTATGCACATATCAACATCTGGAACTGAAGCCTTATCTTCTGCTGCAGTAAAAATTTGGGACCTTAAGCTGCCTCTGTGTGGTGACTTGAACTGAGGGTAACTTCTGCTACAACATCACCTAAGATTCCCAACACTTTAGTAGACTACCGTATTCCCAGAGAAACATATCAGGATCTTCTGCAACGTTTCTGGGATGTAGCTGAAAAGCACCCCCTGCCAAAATGCTTTGCCAACCCAAATCCCCACGGCATCTGGAGGGCAGGAGGTTAGCTACCTTTGCTCTAAACTTTGCTGTGTCTTTTGCATGCCTTCACTCTTTGTCTCTGTTTCTCTCACTCACACATACACCCCCCCACCTTATGAAATGCTGCCCTTTTCCTGCAATCCAATTAGTTCAGTCTTCTTTAACACCTCCTCCTCATTCCTCCAACAAGCCCAAAGCCACCAGCCTCCCCCATCCCAGAAGGACAGAGGCAGCACCCTCGTACCACTGTGGCTCCGCATGTGTATCTCCAAGGAACTGGCGCTGGGGCAGCTCTTCTTGCACTGGGGGAAAGGGCAGATGCGCTCATTCGGATAGGCCTCCTTGGGCTTTTCATCCACCGTGGGAGACGTGGCGTTCTGGCGGCTGGCGCAATAGTACATCAGATGGGCCTGCAAGTTCCTCTCGCTCCGGTACCAAATTCCGCAGTCCTTGCAGGGAAAGACGTCCTCTGGACAGAAGGGAGAAAGTCGGGGAGAGGGAGGGAGAAAATAAAATAAAGGAAGCACCAGCTATATCCATCTAGATTCCTTAACTCCAGCATCAAATGAAGGGGAGTCCACCACCTCCCAAGGTGACAGTCTCGCCTGCTATTGAACAGATAGTAGCCTCCAGAAATTCCTTCTAATAAGGAACATCAGAAGAGACCTATGGGATCAGGCCAGTAGCCAATCAAGTCCAGCATCCTGTCCCCACAATGTCCAACCAGATGTCTTTGAGATCATTTAGTATGAATCTGTCCACTTGGGCCCTGCCTTCTGGAGTGGCAGAAAAGAAATTTGCTCAATCCTCTGTGTGACAGCCCTTCAGATATAATCACCTCTGTGCTGCCTCTTTCCCAGGCTAAATATTAGCAACTCCTTCAACCTCTCTTTAGTCGTACCTTGTTTTGCGACCGGGATCTGTTCCGGAGCCCTGGCCGCTAGCCAAAAAAGGACGCAGGGCAAAGTGCTGCATCTGCGCATTGAGTGGTTTGCACTTCTGCGCAAGCGTGAAGCACAATTTAGCACTTCTGTGCGTGCGTGATTGGCATATCCAGAAGTAACCCATTCTGGTACTTCTGGGTTTGCTGCGGATGTTCACCGGAATGGACACTGGGCGAGGCAGACGTTCGTGGAGGTATTACTGTACAAAACTTGGGCTATGTACACATTGCTGGCTTAAAATTCAAGTGAGTGCATTAATTGTGCTAGGGGGACAAAGCACTTTCATCCTCTTTAATTGAGCCAAACCTCAATGTCCGTTTTGCCCTTCCACACAATAATGACCATCTGGAGGTGCCCTAAATTTGGGATCCAGGGGGCATAAGAAGCATGGGCCATATCCTAGGTACTTACTGTTCACAACCGCTGTGGCCAAGATGGCTGCCATGCCCGCTTGCTGTGGCAGAAGCTGGATTTCAGGGGCCAGTGCTGCTGGGTAAGAAGGCCCCTCAGGCTCAGTCTTCACGGTGTGGTTGGGAATCCCCATTGGCTCAGCCATGACAAACGCGCTCAGTGCGTCTCCTTCTGAGATGGCTTTGGTGGTTTTGCACCAGATAGAATCATCTGCAGATATGACAATGGGTGGGGAGAAAGACCATTAAATTAGATTAGCCACTTCTCAGTAAGAATGGTCACATTTGGGTTTCTTTCGGTTTCTCATTTCCCAAGTATTCAGTTCAGGTCTCCACACTTGCAATTTATTTTATTTCTTCTTTTTTTTAAGTCCTCATGTAGATCATCATCAACATTTTAGAGCTGATTTCTCTTAATATACACATTATCACAAAGTAGTTTCCACTGATATAATGCATATTTGCATGCTGTTTTTTTAAACTGCTATATCCTTTTTTAATTACCTTTCTTTGCACCATCCCTGTACCACTTAAAATATTAAAATATCTCCATGCGGTGTACAGAAAACTAAAACAGCAACAGCAAAGACAACTTAAACAACAGATGTTACAAAAATACACACTGTTACATATGCAAAAATGTTAAAGGTAAAGGTCCAGTCGCAGACGACTCTGGGGTTGCACACTCATCTCGCTCTATAGGCCGAGGGAGCCAGCGTTTGTCCACAGCAGTGGCGTAGCGTGGGGGGTGCAGGGGGGCCCGGCCGCACCGGGTGCAACATCTGGGGTTAGGGCAAATCCACGGGTTAGGGGGCGCAAATCCACAGGTTAGGGGGCGCAAATCCACGGGTTAGGGGCGCAAATTACTTGCCTTGCCCCGGGTGCTGACAACCCACGCTACGCCACTGGTCCACAGACAGCTTCCGGGTCATGTGGCCAGCATGACAAAAATGTTACATTAATACAAACGGCTAATAAAGATAGACCAACATAAATCGGGCACACCCACACTGTCTCCTCGCTCTTACCCAGGACTCCACCCATCCACTCTGACTCTCACTCAGGGTCCAAACAAGCTCACAGATCACGCACATAATTTGACAAAGAAGAGGGTTCTTCCTGGAAACTGCTGGCATCATCCTAGCCTCTCACTCCAGGCTTGCTTTCATGGGCAGGCACCAAAATGGGTGGAGCTTCCTAAGAGGTCTGTCCTGTTCAGCAGTTAATCACCTCCGCTGCACTCACCCACTTCCAGGGAGCAGAAAATTGGGTGAGTTTTCTGGGAGGGGGTCCCAAGGATGGAAAAAGGACAGCTCTCCACTCGCAGCACCCTCTCTCCCTACTTCTCTACTTCCAACTTCTTAGTTTACCATAATATGTGCATTTTACTCTAATGTATGCCTTTTGCTGGAGAATTGCAATGCAGAATTCGGAGAAGTGCGAATTTTGAACAGTTTGCTGAGTTTTCATTCACGTATTGTTTCAGAAAGTGTGAATTTGGTAGGTTGGCTTTTAAATGTGAACTGAATCAAATTTCTCCTTCATGCCCACTCCTGAATAACCCCATGAAAAGCATAAGACAATTGGTTTGGGGGGGGGGCATTTTCCACCCTGAGCTAAATTCCAGTGTATCCTCAGAGCAGTAAAGTGTCCCAAAAGAAAGCCATGCTTGTTGGGTAGGCAGTTAAGGCTCTTTGCTTAGCTTAGATATTGTTTGGAAAATGCCATGGGATATGTTAACACTCGCCAGGATGAAAAGGCAGCCGAGTGACAGTAAGAAACAGTTTCCTTCTTTTGTTTTGTTTGTTCCAGGATCTTTTTTTTCCCAGAAAAAAAACCCTGTTTGGGTACTTAACACTGCATCATGGCTATTGGTACACATAGATTGGAGTACCAGAGAAATAAATTCTCAATTAAAACCTGAAAGTGAGAAAAACTGAGGTTCAAATCCATACACAGTTCATTAAGTGGCCTTTTGCAAATCACTGTCTCAGCCTAATGTACCTTGCAGGGTTAGGCTGCAGCTAAACCGTTACTCTGAGTCCCCTCGGAGGCAAAAGGATAGGATGTACCGGTAAGTGGGACCAAATAAACTGAATAAATAAGAATAATGTTGTAGCAGCTGATGCATGCAATACACAAAGCCACCCAGAGGTGGCAGCATCAGCCCATGGCTTGTCAAAAGCTAGCATTAACCATTTCCTTCTCCCTCCCTGTTTGCCACTCTGCTGCCCATAGCTATGCCATCTTAATCTTTTTTTCTTTTTACTCTCAGCCACCTGAAGGTCCCTTGCCTATTATCCTGGGCCTCCCCTATGGCTGGAACACTCTCCCTAAATGTTTCCACAGTACCACATCTGCCTGCCTTCATGTCTTTCTCTTGAAATCTGTCTCCAAACCCATTTCCCCCCAGGTGGGCTTTGGTTTAACTGTCAAACCCTCAGGCCCAACAGTAGTTATATTTTGGGTACATGCTACTGTAATTTGCCCACCTTCATTCCTTGTTATTTTCGTCTCTCCTTTCCTCTGCTATTTTCCATATTGTTTATCTTAGAGGGCAGAGGCCAATTTGTTGCCTATGATAATCTGAAGGGCAGTTACGTACGCTAATGGTGTTGTATATGTTGCGATAATCATCACCATCACCCTGAGCATTTACAGAGTGCTTTTGTGAGCTCAAAGTGCTACACACACACACACACACACACACACACACTACTGTGTTGTAATCTGCACTGTTATGTTGTAATATGCACAACAACCCTCTAAGGTGGGCTAGTTTGATTATCCTCATATTGCAGACAGGGGCTGAGGGTTGGCCGAAGTGTGGCTTAATCAAAGGGAAACTGGAGAGAGGAGATGAAGATGTTCAGAGAAGATGAAACAGGATGGGACATCCCTCTGCCCAGAGAATGGACCAATTACAGAAAGACTAGGTTGTGGCTTAAGAAAACCCTTAGGAATCCAACTCTGCCCTTAAGTGCCAATAAAAAAAAATCTGGCTCTGTTAAGCAACCCTGTTCCTGTTTTGAGAAAACACTACAGATCAAATGCCTCCAACTTCTGCCAGGTGCCAAGAGGCCATTGTCCAAATACTTACCCTTCTTGTAGATCACGGAGTTGGTATTGCCTTCTCCAGAAACCAAGGGCAGCTTCAACAGCCAGCAGTTGTCATCTTCCAGCACCAGGGTCACGGGTGGGTTTGGCTAGAGACAGAAATATAAAAAACAACAACATATGTGTCACTTACACAACTGGACCCTCACCAGCACATTGTGGTTTCTTCACTTCAGCTGTTACCCTGGTTCCACATTGTGTGGAGTGTGTGTATCTACAGAGCACCCTTTGTCAACCAGGGGCCCTCCAAATATTTTGGGCTACAACTCAAGAACAGATGTCACACACAGGCCATTGATATGTCCTGTGTGAACGTCTCAGCGAGCTAATTCCTCTAAAATAGACACTTGCATAAGTTTCATAAATGGGGGCGGCGGGGGGGGGGAGAGGTTGAATAGACAACCTTCCAGGGGCCACATGCCAGTGATGGGAGGTTCCAGAGGCAAAAGTGAGTGGAACAACAAATGTAAATTTGACCTTTGTACAATAGGCTAGTTCCTACACCCATCCCTCTTTATCCTCCATGCAGACAAACAAGAGGTATTACCAGGGTTCAAAGGCACATTTCAGTCAGGCAAAAATGCTTCTGGTGTAGCCTGCAAAGTTCTGAGGGCCAGTTGGAGAAGGATGGGGGGGCGCATATGGTCCCAGGCCCTGAAGTGTCCCACCCTTCCCATATGCTCCAGCCCAACATGTGGCACATGAACCCTGAACATGTGCATGAACATGAACATGTGCAAGGAGCCTTTCCTCCCACGAGGAGTCATGAGGATAGGGAAAGGAAGCACAATGTGCATGGATGATGAGTGGTATATGTCTGTATGGCTGCTTCCATCCAGAGATGGCCGACCTCCAAGCAGCTGATTCATCCTTTCACTGGCCTAGTGGCAAGATCAGTTTGGTCACGTAGCAAGGGAGGGAACAGACAATCACAGCCAAATCTAGGTCAAAGATGACAAGGCCAAGGCCACATTCACAACATGCATTTAAAGAACTGTGATACCATGTTAAACAGAGATGGCTTCCCCCAAAGAATTCTGGGAGCTGTAGTCTGTTAAGGGTGTTATGAGGCCCCTGTTGGCTTCCTAGAACTACAACTGTCAGAGTTCCCTATGTGAAGAGGGATTGATTGTTAAACCTCGCTGGGAACTGTAACTCTGTGAGGGGATTGGGAATCCCCTAACAACACTCAGCACCTTTAACAAACTACACCACCCAGAATTCTTTGGGGGAAGCCATGGCTGTTTAAGGTGGTATCATAGAGCTTCCCCTCACAGAGCTGCAATTCTCAGAGTGGTTTAACAGTCAATTCCTCTTTGCAGAGAACTCTGTGAAGGGAATAGTGGCCTCTTGACAACTCTCAGCACCCTTAACAAACTGCAGCTCCCAGAATTCTTTGGTTGTTTAAAGTGGCATCACAGTGATTTAAAAGTATGGTGTGAATGTGGTGCATCTAGATCGTAGCGGCTGCATGCCTGGTTGAGTACACAACTGGGGAACACCACTTTGCTCCCATCTCCTCCCTCGCTCTCTCTCACACACACCGGTCAGTCTGCCATCCTTGGGTCTCCCAGAAAGAAAGCCCAGGCTTAACTCCTCACAGGGTAGCACTAACAAAGGGGTCCCAGCAAGCCTCCTACAGAGAGGCCTCCGCCTCTGGATAGCCCACCCCTCCATGGGGAAACTGAGCCCACTGCTTGCTGCCTGGGCAACCCCGTGGCACGGCCAACGGCTGGCGGAGCGTGACTGCGAACACAACAAGCTTGTTATTTCCTCTTCTTCTTAACCTGAGGGCCGACCATCACCGGCTGGGGAGGAAACAGCCACTTCACCCCTAACCTCAGCCATGCAGAGAGAGGAAAAGAGATTGGGGGGGGGGAGGGAGGGAGGGAGGGAAGCAGGAGGGATGGGACGGGGCTGGAGCAGCCTCACGCTGCTTGGGGGAGACAAGAGGAAGGGCCTCGGCGGCGTCCCGGGCCGGGTGAACAATCCTTGTGTTGCTGATGCGGCCACAGATGGTCAGCAGAGATGGGAAGAGCACCCTGTTTTGGGGGCAGGCCAAGCCAGCCACAAGGCCCAAAGCCATGACAAGAAGCCCAACTGCCACGTGAGGCTTCTTTCCACCCCATGAAAGAAGTGGCACTTGTAAGCACTGGCTAGATTTGACAGGTGTCTGGTCTGAGCCCTCTCTCCCCTGATCCCAACGTAAAAGGTGTTCCCTGAGCCCAAGAAGAAAATGACGAACCATTCACTTTTGTGCGTATGAGACTGATCGTGGGGCTAGTCCCAGCCCAAAGGAGGCTTGTGAGAGTCAAAAGATCTAGTGAATCAAGAATGGCAAGGCCTCAGAGCTAAACAGGGTTGCCCTGAGTACAACCTCTGACTGATACAGCAACAAAAGAGGTGTGTCCGGAAGAAGCCTAGGGAGGTTTTTTTCATGAGACCTTCCAGGGCAGACACACGCTCTAATGAATGCAAATTGCCTCGCTCACATTTATGCTTGCCAGCATGCAATAAATAAAAAATAAAACAAATTGACGACACCCCCTTCAGGTGACCCACAGATCTACCTCCCCCTCTTTAAAAGGCGGCAGGTTAGTGCAAAGCACTCTGTCCTGTCAATTCAGCATCCACACTGCCTCTGGCGAAAGAAGAAGTGAAAAAACACTCCCCAGGCTAATAATTCATGGAACATGTGCATCTCCAGTGCCCTAAATCCAGCATTAGGTACATATGGGTGCTCCATCTCAGGAACAGAGGTGCAAAAACAAAGATGGTGTGACTATACTTGGAATACTGTGCTTAACTCTAACTGCTGTGCCTTACAAAGGATAGCGTGCAATGAGAAAAGGCTCAGGAAAGGCTGGAGGGAGTGTGGCTGGAGGAAGAGACGGCTCTGGGTCAGGATTTGGGAAGCTGTGGTGTGCCTGGCCTCCAGATCCCAGCAGCCCCACGGCCAATCGTCAGAGATGATGGGAGCTGGCCTGGACCACACCTGGAGGACCCACAGGGTTTACAGCCATGCCCTGGGCAGAGAGACACTTTCTTTGAGATGAGCAGCAGCGCTGGCCTTCCTCATTCTCTCCCCCCCCCAACTTTGCCTCGGCTCCTCTCTGCCTTCATGTGCCGCTAATGAATATTAATGAGCAGAGGAGGGAAAAAGAGAGAGAGAGAGAGAGAGAGAGAGAGAGAGAGAGAGGAGAAAAATTAATCTGCCTGATCCTTCGATGGCTGCAGCAGTAACGATATGAAATCTAATTATTCGTCCCAATATTTCTAAACCCTCCAACTCAGACTGACAGTCTTGGTCGGTTTAGAGCTTATCACTCCAAGGAGCAGAGTGCTCACGGCTTGATAAAACGCACACACATGCACCACACACACAACTCTCCCCCCCCCTCATTTACACACACGCGCACACACTTTTGCTGATGCTGCAAGAAAAGAAACATTCCTAACTTCAGAGAGAGAGAGTGCGCAAGCAAGATATATCTTGGGGGTGGGAGAGAAGTGTGTCACTGAAGACACGTCCACGTGCCTGGGTCTTTTTAAAAAAAGGGGGGCCGGATGATTCTCTCCAATCTGCTGATTCAGCATTTCTGCTCCTGGCTGGCCACAAAGCCATGAAAGGTACACAGGGGCCACCGCGAATGGCCGTGTTCACTGGGTGGAAAGATGCCCAAAGCCTCAGTTCAGTCTGGGACACTTCACTGCCTGATAATGGTTCGCTAAAGATAGAGATGGGGGCCCATGCCATCCTCCCCCATCAAACAGTACTCTCCTTTAGATCCCTCCTCTAGAATGTAAACTTAAAAGTAATTTATCATATCATATACTGTATAACATTTTGGCGCAACTAAATTGAAGATGTCATGAATCAATTGTGCAACGCAAGCAAAATTTTCAAGGCTTTAGCTCTCTTCCCTATTGAGCTGTGCAGGGGGGGCAACCCACCCCCCTCTGGCTTCTTAGTGTTCACTAGGTTCACTGGCCACATTTGGCCATCATGGCTTACAACACATGGCCCACTGGCACCTGCTATGCACCTCCTTGCTAGGGAGGAACAAAGCACAATCCCTGGCTTAGACTCACATCTGAACTGGGGATAGCTGCTTGTTTTGGTTGCAACATTTGCAACAAGCCAGGATCTGTAGCTAAAGGTTTGCTCTTGGGCTTACTGACCGAAACAAACCATCGTCTCTGGGTTGGATGTGATGCTAAGCCAGGGATTGTGGTTTGTTTCCTCTGCACACTACCAGCGATGAGTGAAGTGGGTGCAATTGGCTCTTGCTCAGTAAAACTAGGTTGAAGAGAACTGCAAACAGCTGCATCCATAGGAAACCATGGGCAAACTGGCACCTCACACCCATTGATTTACATCCTTGAAAGGGAAGCCAGAATAATCAACTGGTTAGAGCAGGGGTCGGCAACCTAAGGCCCATGCGCGGAGCAGAGCGGGAACCACCTTCCGTGACGCTGGCCGGCTTCCCATTGGCTGCAGGAAGCTCCTGCAGCCAATGGGAAGCTGCCCACACCTCCTCCACTCTCTCTCGCGAGTTGCAATGATGGCCACCCACTCTCAGGCAGCTATAAAAGAGCATTAAGCAAATTAACAGAGGATAAGGCTATCCATGATGACTAGCCAGGATGGTTATGCTCTGCTGCCATTGTTGGAGGCAGTAAGTGTGTGTACTACCAGTTGCAGGGAATAGTGGGTGGGGATGGTGCTGTTGAACTAAGTTTCTGCTTGCAGGCTTCCCATTAGGGTATCTGGTTGGCTCCTAGGAGAACAGGTTGCTAGACTAGATGGGCATTTGGCTTCTTACGTCCTTGAATACTTTTATTTATTTAACTTGTTCTTAATCGCTTGCTGTTATAATTTAGTTCAACTGTTTGTTGGCATATAAATCCCAATTTTTCAATAAAATGTGTTTTTCCCCATTATAAAAAGCCTTTCTCCTTTCTTGCCCCATATATTTGGAATCACTATCCAGCACAAAGCCACCTCTCCCTGGATCCCTCCTGAAAGCCCGCATTTCCTTTGAAGATTCAGGGGCTTTGTGCAAGGTTCCCCTTACTATAAACAGCA